TTTTCCTTTCAGCAAAACGATCTATTTCCTTCGGCCATGAACAAAAAATTATTTACAAGAAATATTTTATGAACAAATTAACGGTAATATTACAGCAACTACTAACTGAAACGATGATAGAAAAAGCATCGTAAATAGAAAAACATTACATGGATTTCCCAAATCGTGTGGGATTCGGCCGAAATTTTTTCTTTTAGTAAATGTTCCTTCGTAAAGACTGTAGTATTCATGGTGGTCAACAGAAGTCACTTGATCAGCTGAAATAAATCCCAACAAAAATTTGACTGGATTACTAAGTTTTCTCGTCATGAATTCAGGTAGCTTTTCCAAATAAACTTATTTGGAATATATTACCGTAATCAAGCTGTATGGAAAGTTCAATTTCAGGCCAATTTACCATAAATGCAAAAGAAGAATAAAAGTGAACATCATAAGTATTCATCATGTGATATTCCCAAGCTGAAATAAAATATTTAAGCAAAGAAAAGTTATCACTTTATCGAGTAAAAAATGACATAGTATGAAAAAAGAAGTCTGCTGTTTCTGGAAATGAATTTATTTGAACTTCATCATTGTTAAAAGATTTGTCTTCATGGTTATATTTAAAAATCGGCTAAAACCTATATTCGTTCAATTTGACGTAAAATAATGAATTATGGATAAAAAAAAGCATACACTCAAGGTAAGCAAAACGTCCATATTGTTTGAACTGCCTGATAGTTTCCTCACTCATGTTTCTCTCAGTTTTCTGCCAACTTTCATCATACTCAACCCAGATTGTACCACCATCAGTCATATAATATAATTCATTGAAAAGTGCTGATTTGTACCTATAAATTGTGGGAATATAAAACAGAAATATAAAAAAAAAATACTTATCCATTTCAAACCATCGTTCTTAACCCACAAATTGACATGAATCACTCGTTTTCAGTTCTGAAATTTTGTTATCAAACTATTAAAATCAGTCAAATGAAAAAAAAAACTATGACGAAAACGGAATCCATGATAATATGGCTTTATATTCATATGAATTGCAATTTCAGCAATGGACAAATTTTAAATATAACCATTCAGGCAAGCTGTGGTCATTCAGAATTTTATTTTGCCAATTGTTAATTTGCTCTTCCCATGCAAGTCTACAAGAAAATCCATGATTACATAATTCTGTTGTAAAGTCATCGTTTTTACTGCGAAAAAACCTTCGATAACGCCTGCAAAATATTAATCATATTGCAGTCAACTATAAAAACTATCAAAATTTAAAAAAAACAAGTAATTGTAGACATAACTTTAACTATCAATAATGAATATATCATAGTTTTTATTAGCTCAAATTCGTGTTTCATTTTGTGATGCACATTCATCAACTTGAAACAAAAATGAATTAAAAAATAAGTATCAAAACAATTATTATAGCTATCCAGTTTCAAAACTGTTAGCATTAAGTACATTTTAAAAATGACCTGACGTATTCTCGTTTTCCACCGCGAAATTTAACGACTGGCATATCCCAAGTCAGTAAAAACTCAATATTTACTACCGAGTTTGGTTGACAAACTGATTCGGCGCAGAGAGCTATGGCAAGCTCTTGAAATACTTCTAACGAAATATCTGAAAAAAAATTTTAATTTCATGAGTTTCTGCTTCTGAGGTTGAAAGCATGATGATTTTATACATATAATTAAGTGACATAAAAATATGCAATTATCTATGAATTAACCAAACAAAAAAAAACAAGACCTTTTTTTTCTAAATTTCCATGTTTGTACAGAACACTCCAGATCGAAGAACCATCAGAAGTGGGATCGAATGTTGCATATGTCAGAGAAACATTTTTCTGAAAACTTTTCTGTACAGAAACCCAAATTTGTTTCCTTAACTTTAAAATTAAATACTGCAACAAATATCTTTATTAGGCATAAAGTTTTAAATCAATAAAATAAAAAAACATTTTAACAAAATAAATTTTCAAATTTATTCCATAAATTTTATTAACCTCATTAAAATCAGAAAACAACATAACTCTCTTGCTTAATCTTTACACAATCTAAAGGATTCTGCAAAATTTCAAAACTAATATGAAAAATAAGACTGCTTCAACAAGTAATTTTTTAGAGCTTACATCGTGTTTTGCTGCAATGGCATACGAAACATTCAATCCACCGATGAGGTGGTGCAATTTAATACCAGAGCACAAATTAGTCTTCAACAGTTCTGCACTAAAATATAATTTTAGACGGTGAATATTTCAGTTCTGCATTAAAC